TTTATGTTCTGGTATTTAGAATACTATTTACAAGTGAAAATTTAAGGTGGTAAGACAAGCAGTATCTGGTGAGGAAGCAAGATCTCTTTCTGTTGACTTTTTCTTAACATTATAAAAATTAATGTTCTTGCAAAAAGAAGAAAAAATACTTTATCTTAAAAAGAAAACTTCTCTCCATTGGGATTCAATCCAAGACCTTGAACTTCTCCACCTATTCGCTCTCCCTGGTATCCCCATGCTCTTTGTTAAAGTCTGTTCTCAGACTTACTCAAAAGCCCATGAGAAAGCAGAACTGCTATCATTAACTTACTGTTCACTGAGCATAGACCTATGCACTGTAATTGCATATCATATTGTTTCTTAGTGCCAGTTACGTTGGTTGAAACAAATAAAAATAAAGCATCTAATGAAAAGGTTCAAAAGCATATGATAAAGTTAGGGGATAGGACACAATAGGAATGGAGAGCCTGAATTTCTCAGATATAGCAGTAGATATTAGATTAATTCTAACGGCACAGGACATTGATCATCAGTATAGACAACTTAATGAAAGGATTTTTTTCAATGCACAGCAGTATTCAAAGAAGAAGAATAATTTAGATATGTTTAAAACCAGACAGAAAATAATACATAAAATATTACATTTTGTGCATAACTAATAAGCCTCAGAAGAAATATTGATTTCAGTATCAATTGTCTTAAAATTTATAGCAGAAATATGCAACAATAAAAAGACACCAATCTCAGATATGGGTAATTATTAAAAGCTAAGGAAGGATTTTTTTTTTCTTTTTCTTTTTCTTTTTTTTTTAAAGTTGCCTATTTTAGCAAGGATACAGAAGAAGTGTTATATTATCCTGTTTAGAGTTTTTCATACTTTAAGTTCTTGAGACCGAGATCTTGGATGTTCACCTGAGCAATGAAGACATGTAGTTGCAGTTTTAGATATAGTGCATTTTGAAGAGATTATGTAATATCTCATGCTTGAGGTCTTAGGTCAACAATACTGACTTGGAATAAGAAAGAAAAGCGTACTCTGGCAAATTATTTTATGACTACCTATTGCATGGATTATTTTTTTCCTTCTATGATTTCTTTAGAACAGTACAGTGAGTGGTAGGCTACTATACTATTCAGAGCAGTGGTATAGTCCGTCTCTGTACTCTCATTATTCTCTGAACGTAAAAGTATTGAGCATTAACTGCATTAGGAAACTGAAATAATAATACAAATCTGTATTAAAAGAGCATTAGACTGAACAGTTATCAATTGAAGTCAAAAAATTCAGAATTATAATTGGATCATGGAAGTGATGGTTGGAAGAGAGGTCTGGAGGTCATCTAGTCCATCTTCCTGTTTGGAGCAGGACTGTCATCAGCAGAGCAGACCTGACTTTTCCTAGACAGGTCTTAAAACCTCCGAGGATGGAGGTGCCGCCTCTCTGGATAACCTGTTGTAGGGCTGCAGTGCAGCATGCACTTGCTTCTTAACTTTTATCATGACCACATACGTTTTCTTTCCTGACAACCCCAGTCGTCTTCATTGCCCAATATACATGTGGTTCGCATTGCTCAAAATCGTGGGGTGAAGAAGGCATAGCTATGAGATCTGTGCTTCCTTTGTCGTATAATTAACAAAGATCTTGGTTATAGCAAAAGGTATCAAAGAAAAGAGCTGACAGCTGAGGCAGCTGAACACCGCACAGACAATGCTCTATCTCTGCCAGAGCTTTTGTTATGCTGATCAAGACAGACCAAACTTTATCCAAGTAGTCATTAACAGGGTTCCATGTTTTTTCGAATGCTGAATTTGAGACATTAGAGGTCTGACCTATAGAACTACTGAAGTCAATAACAACTGTGCTTTGAAAATATTCTGTGTTATACAATATTAAGTACTTTGAACAAAGCAAATCTTAAAGAATTTCAAATTGGATGCCCAAAATTTTTGGACATTTTCAGCATTATCTACTTGTGCCTTATCTCCCATTTATCCAATTAGGATGTTATCACATTACAGCCTCACCCTAGATATGTGTGTTCATATTTGTGAACCCCTTAGATAAAGGGCATCATAAAAAAATCTGAGGAACTGCTGAATAACTTGATATTCAAAGAAGAATTTGAATGCTGTGCAGTAAATAGGTAATAGGACCACTTTTTTTGAACAAGGAGAATATAAAATGTTGAAGAGCTTCTCCTTCACTGAGCAAACTTCATTCTGAACACTAAATGAAACAGGCAGTGTTTTTTTGAAAAATAGTAGATGATCATATAAAAAGTGAAATACAGTGCTGCTAACACATAAGAAGACTAAAGGTTGCACAGGCAACCTTTGTTTTCATCTTTCCTGGATTCCTTAAAGTGTTTGCGTAGGTATTTTAAAGAAGAAAGTTGTATCTACAGTAGAATATATATACTTATATATGCACAATACAATAACTGTACTGAAAGATCAAGCTGAAAATGTTCATACAATATACTTAGAGTCTCTGAATACATTGCAAACTGCTGCCACTTCAACTAACAATAACCAAAAGTAATGTTTTGATGTGTTGTCACTGCATTGCTGCTAGAAAGTGAGACATGCGCGCGCACACACACACACACTTTCTAGTGGTCACTACATCTATTTAGTGACCACAGAGGAATGGGAGTTCTCAGAAATGTCTTTTGTTTACAGTACTAAACTGAACAAATCAGGGCATGAGACAACACTGGTGCTTGGCAGTCTGTACTGTTAAACTGGTGTGTGGGTTTTGGCAAGGTCTGGCCAGTACTGAATGGTACCCTCCCAGGCAGCACCCAGACACAGCACAAGTTTTAGCTGAGGCCAGAGACCGTTCCCGGTAATTGTTTGGATGGGCCAGCTCTGTCTTGAGAAGTAGGAGAGTTTAGCTTAAAGGATGTGAGCCTAGTAATTCCCTTAGATCCCAATAGTTGTTGGCTGGTTTTATTTAGTAGTGTAGATGTAGCAAAGACATTAGTGAAGATAATGTAGATATTAGTGAAATCCTTGCAATCCAGGTGTCTAAGCTTTTCTTTTTCCTGATTTATTCTTCTTTCTTACTTTGTCCTGACAAAAACATTTCTCTCTTAGATGAGTTCAATAGATAGCTGTCAAACACATCTCTGGAACAGCAGAATAGGATTCAGTTCGTGATTAAGACATCTAAATGTAGGTATCTGAACACAAACTGGATGCTGTCTCCCCTTGCAGTCATTGGCAGACTAGTCAATACAGCCAGCGGAGTGCAGGGACTGATTTCACCTGACCAGCCACAACATCCAGTGAGCAGCGGCACTCTCTGGGATCCACTGACTTTATCAGTCTGATCTCTGACTATGGTGGGAGTTTACATACTTCTTAGATATGTAAAATGAGATGTCATAATCTGGTGTGGAATCCCAGCTACTGAGTTTTTCATGCAAGAGAAAAACACCAGAGTCAATCATTGTTTGCATCATTTATTTTTCATTTTAAATTCACCTTCAAATTTGCAGACATACAGTTAATTCAGCAGCTTTCAGAAATCAAAGAAAGTGAAAATGTCCTGTGTCCTCCTCTTCCCCTGCTTTTTTCCCCCAGACGCACTTTTCTGGTGTTATTGATTATTTAAGCTCTGTCACGTCCCACATTCAACCTTTTGCCATAACACCCCACATCTTTTTAGTTGCAAAATGTCTTAAGTGTATATTCTAGTCAGTTGTTTCCCAAAGAAGAAAAGTAGATTTTCTAGGTTGCACTCCTAATCTTGATTAGAATTTTATCGTGATACTTTAACAAATAAGAAAAACATGTAATTTTACATTTTTAAGCTGCTGACTAGTAAAAAAGCTGATGGTGTTTTGAAGTACACACCAAAATCCTTCTTCTATCATTCATATTATCAAATACCGCCTCCTTTTAGAAGTGATATTTTGAGATTTGTGGGGTTTTTTACAAGCAGATATTTCAGCAAATAGGAGGAAACTGCTCGGTTTCTTTGCAAATTATGACGTGATGCTATGTTTGATTCCTTCTGGTAGCTAGTGCTGTACATACAGTCCTACAGTTACAGTATGCATATGAACATAAAATTTCTAGCAGGAATGAGATGAATGTAATTATCTTTAATGAAGTAGTTATAGAGATGTGACTGTTAGTGGAAACAGTTATTCTGAGTAGAATATGCTAACTTAATGCTGTGTGGATAGAGTTCTGCTACACACACCACCACTTTAAATGAGGCAGCACAGGTAGAAAAAGTATCTTTTTTTTTTTTTTTTTTCCTTCTAGTCCTTACAGCCACAGACATAAAAAGAGCTATAAATTTTTAATAATCCACTCTGAACTGTGCCAAAAAGTGCATTTTTTTCTGTAGATTCCTTTTTTGTGTGTGTTAAATTGCATATAAAACTTGTTTCAAAAAGTCTTGATTTCCTATTCATTTTTTTTAGTGGTTACTCTGAATCTATTCTCAAAAGTTCCCAGAAATAAAAACAATGCTCAGATCTAGCCTTTAGAGACTGTCAGTAAAAAAGCATCATAGTGTAAATTCACTATTATTATAATGACTATAAAAAGAAAAGTTACTAACAATACTCCTGACAATACTGGTTCTTAATGTGTTTTACTACCTATGAACTAACTTGCTAATTCATCATAGTAAACTGTGTAATTTGTACACATTTCAACTCAATAACAAATTAAGAGACACCATCAAGTTGATGGAATAGCAATGACCTATTTTATTTTATAGATTTGTTTTTTCCTGGAATTTATGTGTAGCACTGAGTGTTTTCGGCTGTTTTTCAACCAGTCAGGATAAAATAGTCAAGTTTAGGGACAGAATTGTTTTTTAAGAGACTAATAAATCAATTCATGGCGTAAGTGTCTTTTGTTTCTGTACAGAAGAAAGAACCAAGCAGCATACCAAAGTCATTTTGCGGAGAGTAAGGGTTTTGCTGTTTGTGGTATTTTATCGCCCTGTTTTTTTACAAGGTACTCTCTCGTTTCAGAGTGTCTTTGCCAGGAAGAAACGTCCACCGAAAGTGAGCTTCCTGAAGGACACCCCGCTGAACAGTTTGCAGGTTTACTTCATGGATCGTCACCTGTGTGTGACCCACCTGAAAATCCACTCCAGCTGTACAGCAAAGCGAACCGGTGCAGTGGTCCGCTGGAGAAAAGCGTTTTGAGCAAAGGCACAGCGCAGCAGATACAGCTACAGAAAGAAAGCAACGCTGATCCTCCTGTTAAGAAAAAAAAACCACCAGTTGTAAACAGAACCATATTTCATACTAAAACTAAACCAGTCGAAAATCATACGCTGGTTGGCACATCAGCAAGGATAAGTGAACAGTGGGTTATTACCGCTGGGGGATTTGTGGAGCGAGCCTGCACGCTTGGGAGAATACGGTCGTTACCAAAGACGTTGCTTGAAATGCACTTGTGCAAAAATGTTTCGAAATCTGATTCTAATCTTATCACCCATCCACCAAATGACAAAAAAGCAAGAAGCAACTGGAGTGAACCCACACCAAACCAACAGTGCTCCAAAGGGAATTCAGAGAGAACACCTTCCTTTACATCAGAATGGGAAGAAGTAAGTTTTGTTCATTTTTAAGTACAAGCAAACATATGGTGTTGTGAAAATGCTGTTATTGTTTTCAGTTTCAGACATAAAATAAAAAGTGAATCTTCCACACTGCAAATCCTCAGAGAATATGTCATAGTGTAATGCATGGTAGTTTGACAGCTGGCACAAAATGCCATGCATTTCTGTTCAAAATGCTGCACACTTAATGAAGTCTATTGTTTCCATAGTGAATGAAGTTAACCAGAAGTAATTCTACAATTTGTTGTGACATTGAAATTATTTTCTACTGAAGCCCTAGCCACTGACACTAATAAAATTGGTAAAATTCATAGTAGCTATGCCCATTATTTACATATTTGCTAATTATTTCCCACTTTGGCGATGCCTGCCAGCAAGAGATAAAAGGGCAGGAATGGAGAGTCTAAGATTTTTAGGTTGATTATGCATTCTACAAACCCTCCCTATCTAACAAATATCCTCTAACTGGTATGTAGCCTGTGTACAGAATGCTTGGCATATACCTGACTCGTGTGTGAAGTAGGAATACACTTATAGCTACGATGAATTTGGGACTATTAAAAGAAATGTCCACACTGAGTTTGTAGTATACATGCTTGCTCATACAAGAGACTTTATTTTAGTTTTAGAACTAGATTTAAAATAATTTTTAGACACCTTATTTTTAATTTATTTTTCTCCTGTGCTAAATTTAAAAAATGTAAATGATTCTTCATAGATACAAAAGTTCCCATCTTACTGAGGTAAATTAAGAGTGGGAAGTGTTTAGATCTTTTCTGCTATTACAGAGAAGCAAGAATTTCCCTTTAAAACAACTGCTATGGGGAAATGTATATATCTCGAGTGCTACTTTTTTTCAGAAAGAGCCCAGAGCTTGTTTGTGTGATTGGTTATTTTTGTAGAAAATGGTTTCCAGCTTATCTAAATGTTGGGTTTGATAGGGCATCCGAAGGTAGTTGTTGTTGTAAAGGAGATACTTTCTCAGTGGAAAGATGCTTAAGATCAGGTTTTGATCTCAATAACTTGGATATATTGTTATGAAATATTGATACCAGTCAGGTCCAAGTTTGCCTTTTTAGGGGGACATCAAGGTTTGATTGTTCTTAAGAGTAAGAAAAATGTAGTTTATTTTAAAAAAAAAAGTTATGAATTTTAAATCTGCAGATGCTGACATAATTCCCAGATTTTCTTCTGTCACCAGTGACTAATACATAGTTTTTAAAAAGGAGACAGTTTTCCTAATAGTCCTAATATTAAGCTCAGTAAAACCTGGTTCTCTGTGTTTGCATCCTTAGACAACACCAGCCTTTCGATTCACTTTTTGTTTTGTCCTGTTCTTTTGGCAAATAAAATAGGTATAATAGTGTTGACAAAGTAAGTTCAATGTAATTTAGCAATGTGCAAATGAGTTTGGGGATCAACGTAGTGCTGTTTCACAAACAATACCATTCTTCGGTATGTGGGGACACAACTATGTTTCATACCTATTTGCTGGCCCTGGGGCAGATGGAAAAAAGGGAGCTAGGAAATTCTCAGGAAATCTTAATTGAACAATTGCTTTAGTACTTTAAAACACACAAAGCAATATTCTTATGTGTTACTATTACTGCTTAAATGGACCTCTAGTGGTTATACCTAGATGACCAGAGTTGTCAGTATGAAAGGAACTGTACTGTAGAAAAAGAAATACTAGTCTCAAGCTTTAGTTTTTACTAGCATAGAAATGTTGCAAAATAAAAATCAGTGGAGAAATTAATTGTCTACCTTTTGATTTCTGCACTTTGCAGTTTTGATTGTTGTTTTCCTAATGAGAGTAATAATGCCATAAATTTATGCATGCAAAACTAAAATAAAGTAACAAAGATGGGGCCATCAATTTCACTGTTCTCTCTTTTGTAGATTGATAAAATCATGAGTTCAATAGATGCTGGAATTAATACTGGACTGGGGGAGATGAATGATCACACTACAAGTAAGGAAAAACAACTGTTGTTTAATTTTGACTTAAATGTCTATAGGGAAACTGTGGATAAAGTATTGCTAACTAACCCACTGTGTTGAAATAATTTGTAGGTATTTGAATAACCATGAACAGAATCAATGTTGTTTACTGTTAGAGATGCATTAGGCCCAGTATCCTGGAGCTGTTACTTTAAATAGCATATTGGAGTCATTAATGTTGTTTTGAAATCTTACCAGAAAAAATATTCCATTAATGTCTTTGTACTGAAGCCTTTCTACTAGGGGGATATTTTTCAATCTTTTTTAGCTGAGTTTTTGTTTGGAATGATGGGACCCTGAGTATATCCAATAGCTACTGACACTTTTTAAAGCATTATATTATCTAATGCTGCTTTAAGCAAATATTTGGCACAAGGCTGAAAATGTTGCTGACAGCCAGTGACTGGTGTTAGCAATGATGGGAAAATTTGCAAACCTCCCCTACCATGGTGAATTCTAAGAACTCTAAGTCATGACTAGCCTCTTGGTTTGTCAGCATAAACCTGTGCAACTGTGCTAGTAAGAATTTTGGAAGTATTTTACTATGTCTTCTTCCTAACACACGGAAGGAAAACTGAGTTGTATGTCCAAATAATTTGGTCTTGAGGCAAAGCTGTGTCAACTCACCTGTACTGATACATCCCTGCTAGCAATTGCATGCAGTTACTTGGGTTTATGTATTGGGCAGGAGACTATGTACCTTATCGCTTAAAATATAAAAAGAAAAGTATTTTAACAACCGTCCATTTCACGGAGCATTGTACCTGTACAGGACAAAACCGTGTCTTACCAATTAGAGTTGACACAGCTATTTTAACAGTAGCTGGACAGTGAGAAGGGAATCTAGGAAAAAGAGAAAATAACTGCTGTGAATACAAATATAATTGCAGATCAAAAAAGCAGATTCCGATTATATTTTTCTAAAGGAGTAAGGGGCAATATTATGAAAAGTGCTAGGCATGTTGTCCTGGCAGGCTACTTTTTTCTTTCTGAAACTTGCAGTGTTGAAAAGGAGAATTACTCATAGGGAAGCTCTAGGTTAGGAGATAGTTAATAATCTCTGAAGATATTATAAGTAATTCAGGATTTGCTGCTTACTATTTTTTATCATGGTAGTTGTACTGGGTCTGGCTGAGATGGAGTTAATTTTCCCCACAGCAGCCCTCCTAGTGCTGTGCTCTGTAGTGGTAGCTAGAAAGGTGTTGGTAACACACCAGCGTTTTGGCTACTCGTGCAGCATCAAGGCTGTTTTTCCAACATTCCCCCTCACCAGCAGGCTGGGGGTGGGCAAGATTTTGGGAGGGGGCACAGCCGGGACAGCTGACCCAAGCTGACCAAAGGGAGAGTCCAGACCATAGGACATCTGCTCAGCAATAAAAGCTAAGCGAAAGGAGGTGTGTGGGGGGGCGTTTGTTATTATGACATTTGTCTTCTGGAGCAACCGCTATATACACTGGAGCCCTACTTCCCGGGAAGTGGCTGCACATCACCTGCTGATGGGAAGTAGAGGGTAAATATTTTGTTTTCCTTTGGTTCCACATGTGGCCTTTGCTTTTGCTTTATTAAACTGCCTTTATCTTGACCTATGAGGGTTGGGGTTTTTTCCCCATCTCATTTTCTCCCCTCCCCATCCTGCTGAGGAAGGGAGTGATAGAGCGGCTTGGTGGGCATCTGGTGTCCAGCCAGGGTCAACCCCCCAAAGTCCTTTTTGGTGCCCAATGGAGGGCTCCAGGAATTCGAAATAAGGAGAGTAATTGGGAGAGGTAACAGGCAAAACATGGACTGAACAATGTTAGAGATCAGGATGATTGTGGGGAATTTCAATTGTTGTAATGTGGTGAAGGGACAAGGGGTGGATTGTGTGTAAATTGTCCACTTTCATTCAGTGTTGTAATGACATTTTGATTTTGGTGTGGGAATCTTTTTTCTGGCGATGTGAGTGAAGTTTGTGAGGATTGTGTGATGAATGTGGATTTTAATGACAATTCTTAAATATGTGATTCACAGAGGCGAGGGGTGGAATGGGTTTGCATGGCAAGGTTTTGGTATCAGGAGGGGCACAGGGATGGCCTCTGTGAGAAGCTGCTAGAAGATTCCCCTCTGTCTGATAGAGCCAATGCCAGCCGGCTCCAAGTCAGACCCGCCACTGACCAAGGCCAAGCCCATCAGCGGTGGTGGTAGTGCCTCGGGAGAGCATAGTTAAGAAGGGGGAATAGCTGCTGTGGAACAGAAACTGCAGCCAGGAGAGAAGAATGAGAATATGTGAGAGAAACAATTCTGCAGACCCCCTGCTCAGTGCAGAAGGAGGGGGAGGAGATGCTCCAGGTGCCGGAGCAGAGATTCCCCTGCAGCCCGTGAGGAAGACCATGGTGAGGCAGGCTGTCCCCCTGCAGTCCAGAGAGGTCCACGGGGGAGCAGATCTCCACCGGCAGCCTGGGGAGGTCCATGGGGGAGCAGATGCCCTGTGGCCCCGTGAAGAGAGGAGCCCACGCTGGAGCAGGTTTGCTGGCAGGACTCATGACCCCGTGGGGGACCCACGCTGGAGCAGGCTGTGCCTGAAGGACTGCAGCCCGTGTGAAGGACTCATGAGAATTCGGGAGTGCCGTTAAGCCAGGGAAGAAGGGAGGGGTAGGGGGCAGGTGTTTTAAGGTTTGGTTTCATTTCTCCTTCTCCTACTCTGATTTGATTGGTAGTAAATTAAACTCATTTGCCCAGGCCAAGTCTGTTTTGCCCGTGACAGTAATTGGTGAGTGATCTCTCCCTGTCCTTATCTCGACTTATGAGCCTTTCATTATATTTTCTCTCCCCTGTCCAGCTGAGGGGGGGAGCGACAGAGCAGCTTTGGTGGGCACGTGCATCCAGGCAGGGACAACCCACCGCAGTAGTACACAGGCACCAAATGCAACATCAGGCATCCATTAAGGTGCACAGCAAGTAAGAGCTCTGAAAAGGAGACAAAAGCAAGTGTCCGTGTGCAAATTTGCATAACTTAGTGATGTATAAGCACTACTCTTTCCCTTCCTGTGACTGATCACTGCTTTGCTTTTTCTACTTTTTTCTTTTAAGATCAGAAAATATCTCAAACTCTTGTCATCAGCCATTTTGTGGCTTCTGCATGCATTATTTTTCTTGGCATTCAAATGTGGCATTTGGTTCTTCAGCTCTTTCAGTTGGCAGGAGATCCACTCTTTTCTTCACTTCTTCTTTTCCCAGAGGGGACTCTGAGTCCCAACTTTTTTTCTGTTCATTGTGCAGCTTCCTGCAAACCAACACTTTTATGTCAATTCTTAATGGTCTTTAGCTAGTTTAGAACAATAATCTGATTTTGCTCTTAATGAAGAAATCAAGCTATGTACTGTTAATCAAAATACAACTACTTTTCTTTCAATTAAATCAATTTTGCTGTACATACAGACTGGACTAAAGATGTTTCTTTCTGCTATAGAGCTGGTGTATATGCAGGTTCACATGTAAGTTTTCCACTTTTCATTCTTTTATGCCTTTTCCAGGTTCAGTCACAGATCAGGCAGCAAAAGGAGCTATTACAATATCAAATGCATTAGACCAAACATGTTATATTTCAAGTATATTCTTATTGTTCTATTAACAAAATAATAGGGTTATCTAGCAGAAAATAAGGAGTCTTTACTTCTCACCATTAGACTGGAGTAACCAATCAAGCAGAGACTTGTTGCAGTGATATTTATATATTTAACAACAGGTTAAGATTTTAGCTTGTGTTAATTACCACTTACCAACTACCACAAGGCAATACACAAGTTTTTCTCTACTGATAATGCAACCTAAGAGATTTTTTGATAGGTCCTTGGCCCCAGTGAAGGGGTTGCTTTGAAGTTTTCTGCAGCAAATCAACTTTTTGTGTGTGTGCTTCTTCTATTTAAGCTCCTATAGTTTATTGGCAAGAAGCATCTCAGGTGCCTCGGCGTTCCTCAGAGGTGCCTCACATAGCCCCTCTCTAATTACTTAGAGATGCTAGGATTGTCTGAATCCCTATGTGTTTTACTTAGGGTTTTATCTGTCCAAGTGTTGGAGTACTGAGGACCTAAATTCCATCCCAGAACTTCTTGTTCACCTTCTCCCTTCTCCTTCCTGGCTCTGTGCCAAGCATAACACAGCCAAATGTAAAGATCTGGCTTTTGCTTAGGAATAAAAATTAAGTAGTATGGTATCAAGTAATATAATTTTGAAATACTTCGTCAGTTTATATATAAATATGAGTTTTGTTAGTTTTAATTGAATATATGTGTAAAAAAGATTATCCAGTACAGATTAAAAATAATGTATTTAATGTTCAGAGTGTACAAGTCAAAGAGATTTCTCTTAGGGTTGAACTGAAAAAAAATCTAGATTATTGAGCAGTATATTCAGAAAACTTCACTTTTCTTGCCTAATAACTTTTTAGCAAACAGTAAAATTTCTGCTAATACTGAAGACCAAATGTAGCTTGATATGGAATCCTTCATTTTAGTATTTACTTAGTCTTGTACTTCATATAATACTTCTGTGTTTTTATGAACTGTTAGTAAAAACAAAAATATATTAAATTCAAGCACGAATATTCTTAATCTACCAGGCATGAAGAGCTTTTTATACTACATAGTATCTCATGCTCAGTGAAAAATATTTGAGAGGAAATATATCATACACTGATAATTCAATAGCTATATTTAAAATTAGACAATGATGACATCTTGTGATGAAATCCTTGAATGGATTTACAGGAACTTTGGCCTATATTTTCCTACTGGTGAAATCTGGAAAGACTTCTTTTAGATCTCCAGGGGAATCTCTTAAGCAATTAGAGGAGCAGTGAAAGGAGAGAATCAAAACCGGCTGAGTATGGTTGTGAGGACTTCATCCGCAGCATTCATTTAGAAACAAAAAAATTAAAGCAGAGCTTTGAGTTTGGTAGCAGCACAGGTACTGGAGGAGTAAACTTGAAACTACAGA